CCAGCATTACTGCAGCCAATCTAAACACCAATACAGTTAAAGTCATACAATTTATAATCAACTTCTGTACAAATACATACTAGATTGTGTGTGTGCATCTGAATCCTAAATGTGTTTATATTTTTAGGTTTTGCTTGTGGAATACATCACCTTGTCTAAGGCAGGTTGCCCAAATGTTTAAGAAAGCCCACAGCAGGTGGAGAAGGGAGCATTTTTTTGAGTGCTGGACTAGGACTCTAGGAGATCAGGGTTCAAATAATCCCTGCTAGGCCATGGATACCCACTGGGTGATCTAAGCCTCAGAGGCAGGCAACACATTCCCCCCAACAAATTCTGCGAAGAAAACCTCACGATAAGATCACCTTAGGGTCTCCATAAGTCAGAAATTGGTTGATGATAAAAATAATAACCAACAAATGGCACTGTGTTAAAAAAATCTCCAAGGATTATTTAATCTTGACCTCTATGTATAAATATTATTTGTATTTTTCTATGAATATTGTTTTGTGTTTATGGTTTTTTAAAATGTACACAGAAAATAAGCTATTCAAAGTCATCTTGACAGCTGCAGAATATTCAGCCGTACACTTTTTCCCCTCAGATTATGTTCAATCCCCGGAAAAAGATATCAGACTTGTGAAGGAAAAGTACTGGATCACAGACAAACAGAACAAATCTCCACCTAAACTTCCTGAAAAATCATTTGTGTTTTCTCAGAACTCATTCAGCTGTAATAAAAGTACTCAAACTTCCCATCAGGACTATAATTTCAATGGAAGAGATGGTAAGATAAATATTTTAAAAACAATTTAATGCATCATTCTATGTTCATTGTATTCTAACTTTTGTTTCAGGGATTTGAATATGGGTATGCTTTGATATATGTTTTGAAGGTTATATTTTAACTATATTCTAATATGTGATTATATAGATGTATTTAACTATTTTGTGCCCCGTCTAAAGCCGAAAGGAGAGCTGGGTGATAAATAAAATAAAATAAAATTTCTTATGAAATCCCTGGGAAAAATGAAAAACATTAGTAGGTTATAGTTTGTAGTTTTGTATATATCCATAAGCAATTCAAGTGTAGCAGTCTCTTCTTCATGGTCTCTATGAAATTGTACATATGGATCTTGTGCGCAGTTGCAGGACAGCTCAGAATTCTCTATAGTTTTAAAACCCTCTTGGTGGTAGCTATGCCCACCCTCCCTTGGAGAATATATAGCCGTTAGGTGGGGCTAGCACCTAAGTTCCTTTCCTGCACAGCATTAGCAGCAGCAAGGAATTTCTCTTAGATAAATCTACATTCAGTGTTTGACTGTGACTGGCTTGCCTATTCTCTTGCTTACTCTTACACTTGTCTCTTTGTGTTGATCTTTGGATAGTTTGACTCCTCATCTGTTACTCCCACTTGATGGTTTTCCTGTGTTTGAATGAGAACTATGCCGTAAAACACTCCTTTATGAGCAGGCATTTACAGCCTCCCCTTCATGGCCAAACAAACAGGCCGTGTTGAAGCCACCAGTTGCTACTGTCACAACAGCCCCTGAGTCTTCTCAGGTGTGGGCTTTGGATTTAGGGCCACCTCCTGGAAAGAGAAACCCAGTGGCTAGCCTGATGCCAAAAGAGGCGTGCCCAGCCCACTCAGCATTAGGAGGCACACAGCGCCAAAAGCCCTCAAAGCAGGGACAAAAAGTGAAAGAAAAATCTGCACAGCCAGCATCCTCCTCCGGCTCTCCAACTCTGCCCCAGCCAGCATTGCCACAAACAAGCCTCACCTGCTCCTGCCCTGCCCCAGTGTGAGAGCATGGATGCAGCTACACTTAACTCTCAGACAGTGTCTCCCTTGCAGCATGCTTTTACAAGTGTCTCATGTGCACTGGACATTCTTCATGGCATGGAGGCTCCGGCCAGTCACGGATGCTCACCATCCATTGTTTGTCATTGCTACCACTCACAAGGACTCCACAAAGTGGTACTACACCTACAAATGGAGACGTTTCTCTTTCTTTCTCTTTCTCTTTCTTTCTTCTTACAGAAGGCCAGTGTTGAACCATTCACAGCATCTATGCCCATCCTCCTGGGTTTTTTACTCTTACTCTCAAAGCAAGGTCTTTCCCTCTCCTCCCTGTCCGCCATCTCATGGTTTTCAGGGCACTCTCATCAACTTTTTCTGAAGAGCTAAGAAAACATTCATTCACCGATGCATCGTCCAACCCCACCATGGAGTCTGGAGTTCATCTTGTCCCAACTTTCAAGAACCCCTTTTGAACCCATAGTGTCGGCAGACCTCAGGCTCTTGCCTTTCACATCAACCATACACGTGCCTATAGGACATCTCCCAAGCTTTTTCTGAAGTATCGCCAGGACACCCTGGGCTATCTAGTATTTTCACAGTGCCTTTTGTCTTGGATCACTTCAATTATCTGGCTGGCTTACCAGCTTGCAGACAGACCCCTTCTGCCCCAGCTCAGGGATCATTCAGCAAGAACCATGTCTACCTCTCAGGCCTTCCTCATGGAGTGTCCCTTGAGGATATTTGCCACACAGCAACATGGTAAACTCCACTTACTTTTGTGTCCCACTACAAGCTGCATGATTTCTCCAGGAGGAATGATGCCTTTGGTAGAGCTGTGCTTTTTGTCCTGTGTGGCATGACTCCCTCCTCCAAAGTGGGAAGCTGGCTAGTCACCCATATATGTTATTTCACAGAGACTCCAAAAATAATGGGTTTCTTACCTGTAACTATGCTTCTTCGAGTGGTCATCTGTGAAATTTGCACATCCCTGCCCATCCTCTCCACTGTTTGCCATGCCTTGGTTTCTGTAATCTGCTGTCATAGCAGCCAAGGAACCAAGGTGCTAGCCCCACCTGAGGACTATGTATCTGCCAGGGGAAGGTGAGTGGTGCTACTACTAAGCTATAGAGAATTCCAAGCTGTCCTGTGCCTGTACACAAGACCCATATGTGCAAATTTCACAGATGACCACTTGAAGAAACATGGTTACAGGTAAGCAACCCATTCTTTGTTGGACTAGTAACCAATTTGAATCCTCAGCCAGCCATGGAAACTGACTGGGTGATTTTAGGCAAGTTACACTATTTCAACCTTAAAAGAAGGTAATGCCAACCTACTCTGAATGAATCTTGCCAGGAAAATCATAATAAGTTTGCCTTAGGGTCACCACAAGTGGGAGATGATTCTACAGTATAGTCCTTTTCAAAATATTGTATTATTAGAGGATAAACATACTTTTCCTTCAAAAAAAAGATGCTAGTATGTTTTCTGTATTGTAATGTTTTAAATAACTTGGGGACATTTTTTTCTGAAACACATTTTCCCTGAGTCATTTAGACTATTGTCTTGATTATTTGAGGATTGGGACACATGTAGCTCAATCTTGAATCATTTTTCACTATTAACCGTATTGGCTAAGGCTCACAGAAGTTACAGTGCCATGCATTCCCCATTCCTGGATTGTTTTATTGAGTAAATTTGTCTGGAATTTTTTCAGTAGAACATCCACTTTATTTAGTGGATTATCAGGCCAATGTTTCACAGAAATGGGCCTGTGTTTTCATGAGTAGATAATGGAATTTTTTGATAGGAAATAATGTTTTGTATGATACGTAATAGTCTTTGTCAATTCAAGTTGTTATCTGTTTTGTTTGATTTTTCTCTTATATTTTCATGGCATGAAGACAACGTTGCAACTAAAACCAGTGTGAGAAACCATGCAATTGGAGCTCTTCAGGTGGATTCAGTTGGAACACTAGAAACACAAGTGGTAGGGAAATGTTGAAATACTTAGTGCCATGAGGAAACAAAGTTGTAATTGGCAATGAATGCTTTTTGTGTTCAGGACAAAACAAGAATACCTCCCTAAAATTAATTTGTTATATTTTGTCTGCAAGAGGCCTCATGTACTCACATAGCCATCTGGGGCCCCATGTACACTGCCATATAAAATCTATATAATATCCTTTGAATAGGATTATATGGCAGTGTAGACTAATATAATTCAGTTCAAGGCAGATAATATGGATTTTATATGGCAGTGTAGATGGGCCTAGGTCACGATACCTATGACCGCCTGAGAGTTAGAATCAGGGCCTAGCCTTCAATCGCCACTAGGAGGCAATGTGACTACATGTTTCTCTTGTGCATGGATAATGACACAGTTACCCTGGCCTAGTCTAATCAGCTAAGATGATTTATGTACCTTCATGCCTTATGTCCAGTTAACTAGAGAGGGCTACAAAGCAGAGTAAATGGTGATTCTACATTGTGCTGCAAGGGACTAGTATCTCATTAATTTTCAGCTGTGTAAACTGAGAAATGGGGTAACATTTTATCTTACTTTGGCACATTCTTAAATCATTTTCCCCACATCAGATAGCTCTAGTAAAATCTAATAAAGTTTTATGCTTATCTATGTTGTTTTCATTTAAAAGAAGCTTAGAAGACTGACTTTTTGAACTGTAGAAACCCATAGTTCATGGTGATTCTGAGTGTTAAAATCCAAAAATAATTTTTGAAGTTCTGACACAGAGACTCAATAAGTAATGAATATATCCAAAAAGTGACATTTTCCCCCAGAATTCTTCTCAGCCTACAAAAACAATAAAACCATTATCGCTGTCGAATTGTGTGGAATGGAGGGCCTACCTAGAGTTCTAAATATATTTGAAAATATACATACCAATAATCTAGGACAAGCTTCAAATTTATATTGAATAGTTCAAGAACCAGATTGTGGCAATTCTAAAGAAATGGTACCTGCTTGGGATTTAAAATAAAAATAGACATAAACAAATTGAACTCAATTTGGGAAAGCCTTCTTTACAAATCTGTATCAATTCAAGTTAGAGAGAATACATTCAAAACTCTACATAAAACATATTATTATCCACCCAAATTACACAGAATTAATTATGGAGTATCAAGATTATGTTGGAGAGGATGTGGAGCATTAGGAGAGATTGGAAGCATATGTAGCTGTCGTGTCCAAAAATACCAAAGTTTTCAGAAGAGGTCTTGACTTGGATAAACTGACTAACAGGAGAAAAAGTCCTCTTTAGAGGGGCATTAAACAGTAATTTGAAGCAAAAATGAGAAGCTACTAATTAAATAGTAAATTTAACACACAAAAAAGAATAATCTCCTTATTTGAGGGCAAAAATGAGAATTTACTAACATAGGCATGGTGTTGCTGGTATGTGTGACAAGGATGGCAATAATCAAAATATGGGGGGGAATTAGAGAATGCATTGATAAAGAATAGATAAACAATATGGAATATATCTTTATCTGAGAAATATTATATTGAGTATCTATATGTGTCTTGAAATCAAGAGACATTTTGGTTAACTGGTTAGAGAAGATGTGTCTATGATTAAGAAAATTGGGCAGTACAGTAGAAGATAATTTATTAGTAAGAGGACTGACAGGAAAGTAGTCTGTATATGTCTGTGACTTGAGGAGGGAAGAGAAGGTAGGTGTGATTTGTTAGTCTATTGTAATGTCATATGTGATATGGAAATTCAATCAAAAAAATTAAAAAGCCCTTCACACTCTGGAAATATCTGGTTTGCTGAATGACTTTGCTTTATACACCATGTAAAGCACACCATATATGTTTCAAAATTTCAGTTGTCAATGGTAGCTCCATTTAGAGGCCTGATTTCTTTATTATTGCACAATATGTATATTGCTGAACATTTTCCTTCATTAATATTATTTGGAAAAATCCATATCCTATTGATTTTTTAGAATCCTATAAATGAGAGGCTTCAGATCAACTCTGTCCATCACACACAGCAGTTACTTGGGATGGGGGCAGGTGATGGTCCCCATCAACATACAGAAAACAGCACACGGCTGCTACAGGATAGATTGAAGGAAGCTGCAAGAAAGATTTGCAGTCTGAGCAAAGAGAAACAACAGCTGCTAGAGATGGTGAACAGACTAAGAGCAGAATTTGGAACTGCTTCAAAGGAAGGTAGGCTTGTTGGATAGAAGAATCTTGGCCTTTTATGAGGAACTCAGCCTTTTGGGATTAAGGTGGTTAGGAGAATGAGGTGCTAGATGAATGAAGGCCCATTGTAAAAAGGGGAGCCAGTTATAACTTGAGAATGAAGTGCTACTGATTTAGAGAACACTTCCTCCAAACACTGAAAATGGTGGGGTTAGAAAAAAGGAACAGACTCAGTATTTGTTTCTTCTTCTTGGTTATGGAGTATTGCCAATAAAAGGTCAAGATGGCAACTGAATGTTGCACAGCGGAGGGAAAATTCCACCTCTTTTATGTATTTATGATGTATTTGTAAAGAATTCTAAAATAAAGACTTGTCTGTTTGTTTCTCTTGGAAATTAGAAAGCATGTAAAATGACATTATTATGTAGCAAATGTTAGGCTAAAATAGAAGCACATTTCATTGTAAACTTTGAGTTCTATAACCCAGTTTCTTTTGGTGAGTATAAAGGTCACTGCTTGGCAGACATATTCCCATGCCATTCTGTAAGCATCTCTTTACCAATGTCTTCTGAACATTGCCACATTGTATAATTACTCCTAATAAAAAAAATCACTTGTTAAATGCAATACAGAATTTTCTCATGCTATTTCTACCTCCTGTTGATAGGATCACTGGATTCCAAGCACTCCGAGCAGCATCAAGGTCACACTTTCCATGCTGCCCTGTACCCTAAAGAACTTGTTAGAGAGACTAAGCATCGTCTTGTAGCCTTAGAACAACTTCAGTACCAGCTTACAACACAGGTAAGGTGAGTTGTAGGGCTCCTGTGTGGGCTTCACACTCACACAACAAAGACTGTATTGGTCAAATAAATACAGTCTCTCCTGCAACTAATTGTTCTGCAAATGCACCATTCCCCCCCCCCCCACCCCCCGGATCTTCATTTGGTAAGTGGGGAATTAATGGCCTCTAGACAAAATTATGGCGTTATCAAGTCTTGCGGACAGAGTCCCTCGCAAACAAAAAGTAACCCCCTGTGACTGTTAGCTGAGTGGGAACAAAAGCAGTAAAATAGAGGCAGTTTGGCTTCTCTGTTTGAAGAAGTTCTAAAGTACCAACTGTTTTGATAATTTCAGATGAAGAAACCAAAATGCCCCTATTTTACTGCTTTTGTTTTTGGCTAGCTTCCAGTTACAGGGGCTATTTTTCATCTACTAACACTTCCTGTAAAATCCAAGTGTAGACACTATGGGCATAGCACTGTCAGTGTATTTTCCCTGTAGTGCTGTTTTGTCATCTTTTAAGCCTGTGAAGCTTCAAAGACTTAGCATGATGCATCTTGAGTGTTTTTATTGGCTCAGAAAAAGTATCATCACAGGATGGGTTTTAGATTTTGTATTTGCTGCTGACTTGTGGTCAACACATCTACCCCTAAATGTAATCCTTTTATGGTCTTACCCTAACATTTATAAATAAAATATTACTGCATTTGCTCTGTATAGGAAGTCAAGCTCTGATACTATAAACTTTTATATTTAATTCAGTTGCATGCATTTACATTCAATGAAGGAAAGAACATGGAATGTAGGAATTCCATTGTTACCAGGGCAGTTGGATAGGGAATTTAAACATTATATCTTCCCTTTTCCCTGAAATTCTTTGTTCTTAATAATACAGTGGGTCTTCCCTGCCCACAGGTTCTTAATCTGTGGATTGACCTAATTGCTGATTTAAAAACACACAGTATAGTAATCAATACACAACACATGTTATGTAGCATATAAAGTATTTGCAAGACTTGAGAGGGACCCAAGATTTGTGAAATGGAAATGTGAATGAGCCTCACACCTCATTTGCTCCCTACATGTGTTGTTTATGAAACTAATGAAACCATGCTGAGTACTAAGTTTAGATTCCTCCATTTCTGTAGCCTTACATTTCTCTCCATTCTTGGAAACATGGTACGCTGCTTGAAACTGTGCATTGTGCAGACAGATTGAGGATCTGGGAAATGATAGGAAACCAAGCATAATGCTCGGTGCAAACCTGTATCTCCCACCATTTCACTGATTTTTACTCTTTCTGTAGCCTCACATATACATACAACATGTAATATGCCATTTTATCTAATGGGATTTGATAATCCATGGATTTTAGTATCCACATGGAACCAATCCTTCATGGAGACAATGCTGACTGTATATTCAATTAAGTGAGTGCATTTATTTCCAGAAAATAAAAGATTTAGCTTCAAATAAATGCAATGTAGTATGACTAAACTGCTGCTTTTCATGGCAGGAGTTACAGCGTGCACACAAAAAACGTGTCTTGGTGAAAAGTCCTCATTTTGTTGAGAACAGAAAAAATGAAAGTGTTCCAGGTAGCAACAGCTGTACTGAAAGAGAAGAAATGCCTTTGAAAGAGGTATAGTAGAGACTAAGTATTTTATAAATCCATTGTTGGTGCTTCAGAAATCTGGTCCTAAGCCTGTTTACATAGAAGCAAGTCCTATTGGATTCAGTGGGATTTTATCCTTAGCATAGAGATAAGATTACAATGTTAGATGGATGAAATAATGGTGACTTCTTTCAAAAATTGAACCTTATTGTAACCTTAAAAATTGAAACATATTTTATGCAATTTGTCAAGTATTTCAGATCCTCTCTTCTACTACTGTTACAAATTTGAACTGAAATCCAGCCTTTGTCAGCTACTAGTGTTTCTCTAATAGAGTGGATCCCAACTTTTTTTTGACCAGGGACCACTTTGACCAGAGACCACTCTCCAACATTAGAGAGTGGTCCCTGCTCTAGTTTCTGATACAAAACATATGCCATCCAGTAGTCGACATCTGCTCGCCCACAGAAAATCATATTTAATAATCTAGAGCTGACGTGGCCTATCCAAGGGGTCGGTGGCTTGCTATCGACAGGGAAGGAGTGGCAGGCGGTGCAAAAGGAGTGGAAATAAAATAAATAAATAAAATAAAGAGGAAGGAGGCCTGCTGACCTGATTTTTGTCCTCGCAGCCCACTGGTGGTCTGCAGCCCACAGGTTAAGAACCACTACTCTAATGTATTACATTCTTCCATGGCTTCTATTATTATTTAAGTAAAATAAATGTAGATGGTTACCACATGTAGTGTGTAAATTCCAGCATTAGAGTCTGGTGGTGGTTTTAAAGATACGAATGCAGGAATTCGGAGAAGAAAAACTTGGAAAACCTACAATTTTCACTATCTAAATATTTGTGTTCCAAATCCCTTCAACTACTTTCATCAACTTAAAGGATTTAACACACCTTTTGACCTTCCTTCCTTGTTTCACCTCCTAACTGCCCCCCGCTCACATTCTCGTTCACCATACTGCCCCCAGCTCGCCACCTGCCCCCACTCCTGTTGGGGCTTTTGATGAGGGCTTCTTCGCCCAGCAGCCTGACATTAAAGAAGCAGGACCAAGAGCCTCAGGGAAGTAGGGAGGCAGAGTTAGGGCAGGGTCAGAAGCTTCAGGAAGCAGACCAGGATTTAAGCATTCCAGCTAGGCTACAATTTAGAACTGATGTTATCCAACTGAGATCTAATTGGTTGGCTCAGAGGAGGACCAACAGGTGAGGGCGCTTGAGAAAGTGGCATAAATAGCTGGAGGTTGGATCTGGTAGTTGTTGGGAGCATTGTTGCAGAATTGCTATAGCAAGACTATCTGTTGGTGAGTCCTGATTAGACCTTGACTTTGGTGACTGGACTATGGCTTGAGTTGGTGAGATTCTTTGGTTTTGACCCTTGGAAAGACTGCCTTTGATTATGGGCTGGTGGGCAGCTGTGTTAATGGAGATTCTGTGGACACCCTTGCTTGCTTGCTTGCTTGCCTGCTTTCTGACCATCCGGCCCATCTTGCTTGTTCACTCACCCACTTGCCTGCCTGCCCCCACTTGCCCCTCTGCTTGCTTGCTTAGCTCCCCTTGCTTGTCTGCTTGCTTTCCCCCTTGCTCAGCCCTGCCCCCTGGGCTGCCCACTCTGCATGCCCCCCCTGCTCTCCCCCCCCCCTGCCCCCCCCCCCCCCCCCCCCAGTTTAGGCACTTGGTCTCTAAAAGTTTCACCATCACTGATCTAGATAGTGTGATAAGCAAAACAAGTTTAGGTAAAAACAGTATACACTCTACATCTATTCCTATGCTTGTATATTAAAGTTACTGATTGATGGGATTGGGACACAGAGAGAAATATGGATCATGGTCTGGCTTTCATCTTTTGACACATTTCCACCCTGTCATTGATTCAAAATGCTGGAAAACTCTGTCATTTTCACAGATTCCAGTGGAATTCTTTGAAAGAAATTCAGATGTTCTGAAGCATGAAACCTTAGTGCCACATCAGGCTCAGCAATATCAAAACAGAAGGCCTGGTCATTTCCAGCCAGGCCTTTTGTCATCATCTGGTACACAAAGCTCCCTGGAGGAAATCTGGCAGATTCTAGAAATGGGATCAAGCCCTTCTGTTTTCAGCCCTCAGAGCAATGATGATCAAGGTAGGCATGAAATAACTATTTCATTTTATTGAGAGTCAAGTTTCTAACTCATTTAGTATATATTCAAATTAAATCTCTTGTTTGTAATTATATGAAACGGTTATATGTGAAATGTTCCTCCACATTGTCATATATTTATTGTGTGGGAAACACACTCATGCCTGTGCTTCAGTAATTGGTGACACCAGATCTAAGTGTCCTTTTCTGGCTCTAGTTTAATCGTTATCAAAAAGTGCTGCAGGGAACCTCCTGAAAGACAGCTTGCTTATCACTGCTGTCCTTACCCTGCAATGTGCAGGTGCATGGGTATATTGGATAATTTCAAGGTATTGATTCTCAGGTTTTCTGAAGTGATGTCCTAGAACATATTGAATTGGTCTTTGCATTTCATGGAGATCTGGGTAATAGTGTTCAGGGACTCCTCAGCAGACAAAATAAGGTAGCAGATGTGCTTGAAAGTGGAAAGTATGGAAAGTACTTCTTCTCATTCTCATCTTTCTCATTTGTATATAACCAGTTGTACATACAGTAGATTCTGGTGTATAAGACTACTTTTTAACCCAAGAAAATCTTCTCAAAAGTCAGGGGTCGTCTTATACACGGGAGTAGTCTTATAAACGGAAGTCGTCTTATAGAGCAGGTGCTGAAACTTCCAATCAGATTGGAGAATCTGTGGTTGCCGCATATTGTGGGGGGAGCTCAAAAATGGTGTTTGCAATGATATTACAGTGGTTCTCAGGAAATGTTCTTTCAGGGTCTAGTTATAGATAGTGGATACATTTACTCTCACTAAATGTCATAGTGTAAGTGTTGCTTAGGAACTAAATCCCTCATCATTCCTGTGCAAAGTAGAGCCACTAAAGTTTATGGGACTTCTATTAATTGTAGCTGAATAATTGCATTCATTTTGGTGGGTCTCTTTACACAGGACAAATGAACATCTTAAAATTCCATTAAACTTCACTTATTTTGACTATTTGCAATCAACCAACCAAGAGCTCTAACAATTGATTTGTGTTTGATGGCTCTCGTAGAACAACACAACAAAGAGGGGAGTCCCCATTATTCTCCTCCAAAGCTACAGTGGGCAAGAATGGCATATTCTTCATGCATGTTGTCATTTTACGGCATATCCCTGTCAGCAGAGGAAATACATTCCTGTCAGCATCCTGCCCCATTACAGAGTTACCTTATGGGATGGGGCCAGATGCATGAGGTGGAAGATTGTCTCTTAGTTGCTGAAGGGATTATGAATCAAATGGCAAGTGGCCTGCTAGGGGTGAGGGGATGCCTTGGATTAATCCTACCCTGAAGGCACACCTTAAACTTTTGAAAGGTTCCCTAGTAATATGGATGATATTGTGTTTTGGTTGCTTTAATTTTATTGCTTTTTAAAACAAAGTTACAAAATTATTACCATTGACAAAAGTTAGTATCTGTTTATTTTGCTGTGTTTTCCTCCCATAAACCGAGCTATAAAGATTACTATTTCTAAAAGGAAGCCTATTTTCTTAAATCTTGCTCACTTTTGTTTTAGATAGGGCTGATTATTGTAGCACTGTTTCTGTTGGGTTTCATTGTTCTAATAGAGATTTCTTCTAAACTGTGCCCCTGATTTTGTCTTAGTTTTACAAGAACAGTATCTGTATGAATCACTTCATCTTTCTGCTTTGTGACAATATACATTAATATGTTTCTCTTTGCTATTAGACTTCAAAACTATGACTCTTGGCTCTTAATACTGCTTCTGCTGTATTATATAAATCCTCTAGACAATTTTATTAACAAGCTCTGTCAAGAGAGGTTTTCTCTTTAGTACCTGCCGAAGTCTTTGAAAATTATTTTATTTATTTATTTATTTACCTTACTTATATACCGCTGTTCTCAGCCCGAAGGCGACTCACAGCGGTTCACAACAAATACGAACAGCAAAAATTCAGTGCTACAGTATAGAAACAGTAACAACCTAACACATTACACAAATAATAAACAGTTACTACAATACCCATTCACTGTCGTCTCGTCATCAAAAACATGTTCCAGATTCGTCAACCATTTTTCCATTCCAGTGTTCATTAACCAATCATTGCACTAATTATTCGAACGCCTGCTCAAACAGCCAAGTCTTCACTTTTTTGCGGAATACCATTAGAGATGGTGCTAGTCTAATGTCCGTAGGAAGGGCGTTCCACAGCCGAGGAGCCACCACCGAGAAGGCCCTATCTCTCGTCCCCGCCAGCCGAGCTTGAGAAGCAGGCGGGATCGAGAGCAGGGTCTCCCCGGAAGATCTCAAAGTCCTGGTGGGTTCATAGGCAGAGATGCGGTCAGATAGGTAGCTTGGGCCGGAACCGTTTAGGGCTTTAAAGGCCAACGCCAGCACTTTGAATTCAGCCCGGTAGCAGATCGGTAGCCAGTGGAGTTGGCGCAACAGGGGGGTTGTATGCTCCCTGCGCTCCGCTCCTGTTAAAATCATGGCTGCCGAGCGTTGGACTAGTTGGAGCTTCCGAGCTGTCTTCAAAGGCAACCCCACATAGAGTGCGTTGCAGTAGTCTAAACGGGATGTTGGGATGTAACCAGAGCCTGGGGACTACCCGCTGGCCAAGTCTAGACTTCACCAATGACGTACACATGGGCCAGAAGCCTGGCCGCACAAGCTTTAGCTGTCAAATGCCCCTAAAGAAAGTCACCGACCAAAACCTGGCCGGCGTTCCAGCCAGCCCCGACAAGCTCCAGGCGCCTCACACACAAGCTGCGCGAACCTGCGTCTTTCAGGGCCGATTGCCGCGCCCCACCATCCACACAGAGCTAGCTAACCCTATGCCCTGTCGCAGCCCTTGCGACCTCGACCAGGAGTACCTATGTCACTTGTCTAGGATTCACTATTCAATTTGGCTGTCGCACCTCGATCTCAGACGTCACAGCCGGCCCACGACCGGATTAATGCTGACTGGACAGCCATCCATCATTAGTAGCTAGGGTGGAAAGAGGAAGCTAGTGACAGAGTTGGACATCATCCGCGTACAGATGACACCGTACCCCGAAACTCCGGATGCTCTCCCCCAGCGGCTTCATGTAGATGTTAAACAACATGGGAGACAATATTGAGCCCTGAGGAACCCCACAAGACAATGGTTGTGGGGTTGAACAGGTGTCCCCCAACAACACCTTCTGAGATCGACCCTCTAGGAATGACCGGAGCCACTGCAAAACAGTACCTCCAGAAGTATATAATGGAGGTACACCTTGTTGCAATATCCATGTCTAGTAATATTTATTTACAATGATAGACATGTGGCAGTAATAAGGGACAACAGCATGGACCTGCAGGTATGAGTCATATATTACACCCAGGTTTGTTGGTGGACTGAGACATAGGGAAGATATTACAGGTCAAGAACCTATTGATAAAGCCAGAACTGTGTTTGTACATGGAGATGTCACAGCAACTTTCCTAATGTTTCATGCTCTCAGTTGGTGAAATTCAACTGGCAACATTACAAGGACACTAATTTCCTAACTTGAGATTGGAAACTACCACCCAGAATAGGAGCTCCAGCTCCTACTTTGTGTCCAGATATCAAAAGTCTGGTGCAATAGGACAAAATTGGTTATGATTTGCAGTGAAGACAGTTTATTATCTAATTTGTGCTGATTGATTTGGGGGAAAGGAACCTTTGATTTATTCTAGCTTTCATAATGATGTTAGGATTGTTTTTGTATATTCTTTTGAAAAAGACATTACTGTGTATACTTCAAACTTTAAATTTTGTGTGCTTCAACATTTCACTGCTTCTTACATGCTCCTTCTAAAATAAAAAAATGACTGAACCAAATAAGGCACAGTTGACCCTCAACTTTTGCGGGCTTCACAGTCATGGTTTTGATTATTTGCAAGTTTGAAATGCTACTTCTTCCTGAATTTGTGGTTGTAGTGTGAACAATCACAGGGCAACCCCAACCTCTGGAGGTGAACAAAGGGGCTGTTCAGGAGGCATACATGCTGCATCTTTGTTCCCCTTGCTGTCTCATTTCCTTTGCCTGGGGGAAAAGGGAACTTAGGAATAGGAGGCACTTAGGAGTAGGAGGAGCCAATCCTGCATACCACTTTACTTACCCCATGGATCCAGCTTCTTTTCTTCTTTCTGTATTCTGCAAATCTCTCTTCCACTCAGACCCAGACCTTTCTTTAAAATTTTCAGGAGGCCTTGGAAAAGAGTAGCCCCAGGCCCTACCCTGGCCATTAGTTAGGTCCACTCTCTGCACTTTACTCATTCCCTGGCCTATATTACTACCACATGATCAGCCCTTTCAAACTGTCTAGGCCCACTTGTAAGCTGGGTCACTGGTAACTTATTTTGCACAATGGAATAATGTTGGAATCGGTTTGTTTTAATGTATAGGATTGTGTTAAGAGGTTCTGTCTATATTTTAAATAGCTACTCTGTATGTTTTGTATTTGCTTATGGAAACGGCCTTGAGTCCCTTAGGGGAGATAGAGCGGTATATAAATAAAGATGATGCAACAATTGGCAATGACGATTGGAACGGAACATGGATAACGAGATTTGGATTGTGATTCAATGATGAGACGTCGCGAATGACTTAATGTAATTGTATTATTGATAGTGATGCTGTTTAATGTTGTTTTTGATACTGCTTATGTTGTAAATTGTACCTGATTTTACATGTTGTACACCGCCGTGAGTCGCCCCAGGGCTGAGAACGGCGGTCTACAAGTGCAGTAAATAAATAAATAAATAAATAAATAAATGAGTATTATTATTATTATTATTATTATTATTATTATTATTATTATTATTGGAGTTGGGGGGGGGCAGAAACACACAGGAAGAAGAGACGGAACTGGATCTTCTATGTAAGTGCTGTCCAGTTCCTCTTTCTGTTTGTTACTAGTCTCTGTTTTGTCCGGTATGTCCCTTTCCTTTGCCCAGGTGAAACAGAGACTTTCAGGCATGCAGGTAAGAGAAGGAGACAACTCTACATCATTTCACTTACCCCGAGATCTGGCTGCTCTTCCTCTGTTCCGCAAATGAAGAGATGTACCAAAAAGGAACAGGAATACACATGGCACATGGGAAGAAGAGGAAGAACCAGATCTGTCAGATTTGTGATGGTTCAGGGAGGGCTGGTTTCTCTTCTTTGTCCTATTTATTATGAGTTTCTTTTCCACCTGGTCTATCCTTTCCTTTCGTGGACAAAACAGAGATGTGTAGCACACAGGTAAGAGGAGCTAGCCTGTGCCTCTTCATTTATCCAAAGATCTGGCTCCTCTTCCTCTTATTCTTCACTTACTCAAGGATCCAGCTCCTCTTCCTCTTCTCTGTTCTGCCCAGGCAAAGAGAGGAAAGTATCAGTGGCATTTAAGAGGAGGAGGAACAGATCAACTGTTCAACTGGGTAAGTGATGTTGTGGGTACACATGGAACTGGTTCCTGCTCCTCTTCCACTTTGTTGCAGGCATCTGGTCCCTTAATGTGTTCTTTCCTTTGCCTGGGCGAAAGAAAGACTTGTGCCATGCAGGAATAGTAAAGATAGTCAGATCCACAGGGTAAGTGAAATGTTGTGTAGGGACAGCTTCTCCTCTCCCCTGAAACAGCAGTGCTGGTGCCTCATTCCTCCTCCCCCAAGATATTTGCATTTTTTCATAATCATGGGGGAGCCTAAACCCTGTGATTGTGAAGGGATGACTGTATTGCTAAAGGCTCTTTGCTGCCAGTGTAATGCTGTATTTTTTTTTACCTGAAGCAACCTGTCCTGATTTTAAGGTGAATAATTCGTTATTTTAGTTAAAGACACATTCAAATAATAGATTCATTCTACAGTATAATTATTTCATAAGAACTCTACTTTATTGGCATTTATGCATGGCAAAGAACTTTAGGATCTGGCTGCATTTAATGTTTTACATGCTTTTTATAAAGAGTTTTTAAATTGAGTGTTTTACATGCTTTAAAGTTATATATATGGTCGTTTCTTATCCATTTTAAACAAAACGTTGTCCATATTCATTCCAAGGTATGTTAGGTACATCATGCATTTCTGATGTTTTGTTTATTTCATCCTATATTTCCCATTTTCTGTCACCAGCACATCTTCATATCTCATCTGTTTATTTATTTTGAAATACGATTCCTCTTTTAAATAAAACTTTGTGTGGTGATATCCTTATACCTGTTCCAAATCCTTTTATTTCTAGCAGTCCCTTTTTGCTTGATAATCAAGCAGTGGTTCTTGTAAGCCAGAGTACATGATCCAGAGTAACTCCTGGGTATTTTGGTGTGCTGCAATGCTCCAGTGGGATTCCTTTCCAGATAATTCCCAGAGCTAGAGATGCTTGTTCTTAAAATGAAAAGCACATATCTGCATTTCAGATGGATTAGGAATCAGCTATTTTCCCCTGTAATAGGCAGTAAGAGCACCTAAAGCTTCAGAGAGCTTCTGTTCAATCATTTCAAAGCTCCCTGCTTGATGGTGATGGCACCATCGCCAGAGTAGATTAAACTCTTCCTTCTGACAATGGCTGATCATTTGTGTAAACGTTAAACATTAATGGAGCAAACATGCTCCCCTGAGGCAGGCCGTTCTTCTGATTTCGCTATCTGCTTCTCTCACCTGGAACTCAACAAAAAGCTCCTGTTTTATAGCAGATTTCCTATGAAGCAGGTAAGGTGGTATTCCTTTGTGATATTATTAATATTTCTTGGGAAGAGGCCATGATTTACAGTATCGCAAGCAGCTGACAGGTCTATGAAGAGAGCTCCTGTAATCTGCTGTATTTCAAAACCATCTTCTATGTGCTGAGTCAGGTTCAATACTTACAATGTGCAGCTTTTCCTTTTCCTGAAACCAGCTTGCTATGAAATCATGCATGGATCTATTTTTCCCAAAATTCTATGCAGAATAAGTACCTCTAAAGATGGCATAGCAAGGAGATTGGTTTATACCTTTTTGGAACATTATGGTATTTGCCTGGAAGCATTGCTTGATTATCAAGCGAAAAGTGAGTGCTAGAAGTAATATCATGCAAAAGCTGACAGGCACAACCTGGGGATCACAACCAGACACAGTGAAGACATCTGTCCATGCACTTTGCTACTCTGCTGCTGAATACACATGGCCAATGTGGAACACATCTCACTATGCTAAAATATGTGGCTCTTAATGAGACATGCCGCTTTATCACCGCTGGTGAAATTATACTGCTTAGCCGATATTGCATCACCTAATATCCGTCAGGAAAAAGCATCCCATAATGAAAGGACCAAGGCATTGACACCTCTGGCCTATCCTCTGTACAGATATCAGCCAACATGCCAATGTCTTAAATCAAGAAATAGCTTTCTAAGATCTACAGAGATACTCGCAGGAATACTTCAGCATGTGAAAGTCCAAAAGTGGCAGGTTAAAACCTGGAACCTCAATCAGTGGCTAATACCAGATGGGAAACTCCTTCCTGGTCATACAGAAGAGTGGACAACCTGGAAAGTGCTGAACAGACTGTGCTCTGGCACCACGAGATGCAGAGCTAATCTTAAGAAATGAGGTTACAAAGGGGGGTCCACGACATGCGAGTCTGGAGAAAAGCAAACCACAGTCCATTTATTACAGTGCAGCCTGAGCCCTGTCACATGCACAATGGAGGACCTTCTTACAGCCACACCAGAGGCACTCCCAAGTGGCCAGCTACTGGTCAAAGGAAATAATGCCAAGTTTTTAACTTTGTTTGTGGTTTTTTTATACATTATAACTGTATTCACAATTCACTTCTGACATGATAAATAAATAAATAAATAAATATTTCAAATCCTTAACAAATAATTCTGACCTAGTAATTATTAAAATCTACATTTGTTTTTGGTTTATCATACCAGAGGAAACCATGATATCTAAATCTTGGTCAGAAGTGTCTTTTAGCCATTGTTTAAATTATACAACATCGGTCAAAATAAGTCATGTCTGAAACAAAAATAACATTTTAGGGTGAACATTTTTATTACTGAACTTCTTCCCATCAATGATAACCTTAATGTGTTGCATTTTTATAAATGGACTATAATGCCATTCCAAGTTTTGGCATAATTATTTTGGAACCCTCCTCCAGTCTAGTTCCCCCACCCACACTATCTCTCATGTATTCTGTGCAAAATGACATGGAGGAAGTCATTTTGGAAGCAGCTGTATATCCTGCATTTTCAATAGTTTAACACAGCCCTGGATTTTGTTTCTTGACTGGTAAAGACTATGGTGTGAGAGATCAAGAGAATTTTGGGCACTGACCTTTACCAATATTTGAGGTTTGTGCCTCTTGGTCATTCTCAGCCTAAGATGTCACATCATGAGATAAGGCTAAGTGTGGCAAGAAACAAAATAAGAAAATAGGCAGACATGGATGAAGACAATATCTCTCATTTGCTGTTGCTCATTGTAACACAATTGAAGCTCTGTCCCAAACACAGCAAGTTCTTGTTAATGGTTTATCAAACTAACTGTCCAGTTTTGGCTTGTAGTCCTTCTTATCAGGCCCGTAGCCAGGATTTTGTTTCCGGAGGGGGGGGGGCTGAGTTTGGTTCAGGGGGGGCGGTGAGTCTGAGTGAAAGAGGGTCTACCCTAGCAAACCTTTTGTATCATTACCCCAATACCCCCATGCATATGGTATATATTGAGCATGGTGATCAGATCATGATATGAATAAACGTAACAGTTTAAATAATGTACCAGTAAGGCCTTCTCGCGGACCACCATGAGAATTTCGGGGGGGGGGGGGCTGAAGCCCCCCAAGCCCCTTCCCCCTGGTTACATGCCTGCTTCTTATATATTCTCATAGAGGGGTCACAAGAACTCACATTTCCTGATTTGGAATTTCAAGCTTATTTTTCCCTCAAATAGGAAGCAAGCATTATTACTGTATGTTACTGTTTGTCTGAAACCCAAGTTTGAGAAGAACCGTGCTTGTTTTAAAGGGTCTCCTTTACTCCAGATTTCTAATAGGCCGCCTCTCATTTATGGTCATTTAGCACAAAATACAACAGTTTTCCAGGTCTGATATAGAGCCTTCTAACCTTTGAACATAAACACATACATTCAGTAGCTTTCTCCACATTTCTTTTTTCCTTATTGTCTCCATGACTGTTTTTTCTTTAAAGAAATGCTTTGGAATATTTACAACCAAAGATTATGGAATTCATAATTGAAATTTATTTTTGAAGGCAAGTTTTAAAGGAAAAAATTGGCATTGCTGTGGTGCAGCCCACAGTAGGGGCAGAAATTGGTTTCTGCACATATAGATCCTGGGTTTCCTGTGATATCAGACTTTATTCTTTACATTTGAACCATTCAAAATGGATGCTTTGCATGCTGTACATTTGGGAATATGGCTCACTTCATCTGCTGGAACAATGACTGCATTGATACACAACACTAAGTGAATAATTTCAATGCCAATCTTGAAGGAAAAAAAAAAGAAATAATGACTTACTGTGGGTATGTTTTTTTTTCCAGAGCTCCAGAGACCTTGAGAAATTAAAAAGAAGTCAAAGGGTAGAAAAATAAGGGGATGGTCAGAACAGCAAGCATTGTTGTGCTGCAATATCTGAGCTCAGTTGACGAAAACCGAAGGGCCATTTTAATTATAATTCTTCAGTATCAATCTAGTTGCTGTTGGGTCATATGTTACACTCTTGCCTATTTGACAAAATTTCAACATCCTATCTGGGTAAAGAACCAGACAATGAGTGGGCTGGGTAGAATATTAACCAATAAAGAGATGAGAACTTCTTTTGAGCTCAAAGTGTGCAATTTTCATTCTGTCTTATGTAAGACTTTTGCCTTCCAAGTGCTTTACAAATATTAGCTTACTCTAACGCGATTTTCTGTACTTGAAATTTCCAACCATTGACATCAAATCTATTAAGTATGAGAAGAAGTGAATTAGATCATAAGAACAGAAAGCTAGTTCAGGTCAGTTTGTTCCATAAATTTTCTGTTTCCAGGAAATGTCGTAGGCTGGACCAAAAAGCCATGTAATAATGTATGAGAAAAGACAACACAAAAAGATGAAGGTATTACATTTTTTATTAATTTCCTTTTTAAAATTTAAATATAACCTTTTTGCCTTAGTAAATAAAGCAAAGTAACATTTAGTTTCTCCTTTTTTTACTTACCATGCAGAACAAAGGTGGACAGAATTTTTACCCTCAAGGTCCTGATGGGCACAGGAAACATGCCAGTAGACATAGCTAGAAACGGCAGCAATTGAGGCTGTTATCTCACATGCAAATATACTCATACTAACATACACATTCACATTAACATGCATTTACATCCACCCATCTACCTTCTATTCAAACAATGACCTTCCTCCAGATTTTTTTTCTGTGTAGGGTGGGAAACAAGATGTTTCTCTACCAGCCTAGCATGTAGAGAAAGGAAGTGTATAGTAGAAAGAACAAAGTGTTATATTTCTTGTCTAGATGACAACCTCATCCTCCAGTAGTTCATTTTCATTTCATTTCAGGATTGAAGAGAGGGAAGTATTCTTTCTGTCACCCAACAGGAAAGAAACATTTTATAGAAACATAGAATCTTAGAGTTGGAAGAGACCCCAAGTACCATCCAGTCTAAACCCCTGCCATGCAGGAAAAGCATTATCAAAGCACCCCTAACAGATGGCCATGCAGCCTCTTTTTAAAAACCTTCAGAGAAAGGTTCACCATACTCTGAGGCAGCAGCATATTCCAAACAGTTTTTATCATCAGGAAGTTCTTCCTAATGTTTAGGTGGAATCTTTTTTCCTCCAATTTGAAACCATTGCTCCATGTCCTAGTCTCCAGATCAGCAGAAAACAAGCTTGATCAAAGTAAGATTTAGAAGATGTCATCTAATGCTTTTGCAGTAGACCTAGCAATTTGTTTTGGGTTTTGATTGAAAAATTTGTGGCAGTGGTAAGGAGAACTTGGAGAACATAATTAGAGCACCAGCAGTCAAAGAGCACTAGCACCACCCACAAAGGACAAGCTGCCCTTATGGGATGTAAACTCATCCAGGCACTTTCTGTTGTAGCTTGAAATACTGATTTACAAATGGTCGTCAGAGTATTAAATAAGTAAGTGGCTTATGCAGAGTAAATGCACAATGGGTTTGAGGCCCATGGATAATATGGCATAGACCTTATCACATAAATATTTTTGTAGACACATTGTTCTATTAATATTTATAACAACTCTATAAGATATGTTGTTATCATTACCTGTTATCAAATAGGCGATATGTGTTGGGAAAACAGCAGCTTTCCTATATCCATGGCAAAAAATAGATTTGAACTGGGTTGGTTAATATTTTGGCCATTTGAGAACATGATGGTAAGCAACAAAAATGTTCCTTCATTGAAAACTGATAAAGAAGACTCAAATTGATGTAGAATGTAATTGTTATATGGCCTTAAAAAGTTTCTTTTCCACTAGGGGTGTGTATATTCTGTAGAATTAAAGCACCTCTATACCACTTTAAGTGCCAGGGCACGATGCTGTGGAATCATGGAAACTCTGGTTTTACAAGGCCTTTAACCTTCTGTATCAAAGAGCACTGGTGTCTCTACAAACTACAAATCCCAGGATTCCATAAATTTGAACCATGGCAGTTAAAGCGGAGTCTAGTTGCATTAATTCTGCAGTGTAGATGCACTCTGGGTTACAGCAACAGGTATGTGTGTTTTTTAGATCAATATATGTTCCACTTTAGTTGTTAGTCTTTTTTAAATAATACAATAAGAATAGACTCTGTGCTTTCAGACTATAGACTTTTTCCAGTTCTATAAAATACCGAGACTAAATATTTATGACTCAAAAATAAGATTTCAAATTGAAATGCCATATAACTATTGTCAAGGACAAGGTAATGCTTACAGAGGATTAGCTAAGCTGTACTTACCTCTAGTAATACTTAATTGTGTGATAATATTTGTTTCTTTTTTAAAATATTTGTATAATATCCTTCAAGCATGCTAGTTCTCAAAGTGGTATATAATATTTAATCATATTTGCAGGTAGATGATAATACCCACAGAAAAAGCACCCTAAACAGTGGCGTCTTGTGGCTTCTGATCCTAACTGCTCTGAGTGGCACTTTGCATGGCAAATATACCTTGGAGGACTGCCCCTTCCAATGCCACCTTCCTTGTTTATAAAAGATAATGTGACAGCAGCTGCTGAAATTCCTGGGCTCCAGAGGCCTGGACTTGTGCTCCATAATCCAATCAAAGTGGCACTGCATGTTCTCCAAAAAATGATCATAACAAGTACAAGTGGGCAGATGCTCTTTGGGTGTTCTATCCACTATCTCTACTACTTCTACTGAAGATGCTAATTTTGACACACTGGTCAGAAAATAATGTAAATTTCTTCTTCTGATTTGCAGAGAAATCCCAAATTGTCCATGAACCTGAAAGACTTGAAGATTCTCAAGAAAACAGCCAAGCAAAGCATGCACAGAAAGCATCAGCAGCTCCTTTGAATATTATGGGCACTGCATTTCATGTTCATTCAAAGCCAAAACCAAAAAAGTCATCTTATAAGCAACCCAGGAAGTCTCAGACCTCTCCACAAATAACCAAAATCCGAAACTACAATATAAAAGATTGATATAAATTGCACCTCTCAAATAAATCAAAGTTTGGGATCTAAATTATGCAGACTGTTGTTGCATGTTAAAAATGCTTAATTCACTTTTGTATATTGATCTTTTCAAGAACTGTTGAATCCATATGCCTCAAGCAGCTTTCTCCAGTCTTTTCCAGGCTTTAGTGAAACACTCTTGAATCAGAATAGTTGTGAAAAATGGATCTCATTTTCCATGATCTCATATACTGTAATGCTATATCATTTGCTCCTGCATTCATTATTGTCCTGAGAGTTCTTTTGAAAGTTTTGAAACCAGGCACATAATGGGATTCATTCGTTTTGTCCATACATCACCGAGTCACTCATACAACAGTCTAATTGTTATGCCTATGTTTCTCCATGCTCACAAAAACTCAACTTATAATTCATTCCCATGCTTATGTTCATATAGACATACACATACCATTTGAATATCAGTGAGACAAGATAAGGAGATTCAGCTCTCTCTTCCATTCAAACTGAGATCACTTGGCAGTGATCTGAAGAGAGTGTGTATGCACAGTTTAAATAATAAAAACTATGTATGATGGGTAACCCTTTTCCTTGTCTTCATGTAAATCACACTTAGGCTGTGATGGTGGCAAAATTCTGTTGGGGAAAATTGAGTATTTACCTTATCTAAAATCATACAATATCAAATTTAGCACGGTAAAGAACACATGGAACACACCATCAGATACTCTGAAAAGTAAAAAAAAAGGCTATGATTGATTGATTGATTGATTGATTGAATTTATATTCTGCCTTTCTCCCAAGATGGGGTTTCAGTGTGACTTGAAAGAAAGACATGTTTGACTCTACAGAAATAGACATATAGAACAAAATCCACCAAAATACAAAATCCAACTGCAAACAGAATTCATAAAATAAAGTTAGAATAGTTTGCAACAAAAGTTATTTCAAGAAAATTAAATGACAGACATTTCTTAAACCATCACCATTTTACATCCTGTAGGGGATGCTACACTAATCACTCCACCCCAAATCATCCCTTTCTCACATCAGATTTGTCAATCCAGCTCTCACATTCACTTGCTGTCTTCTTTCATCAAGCAGTGATTACTACTCTGTTGTTCAGTGTCCATATCTGCAGTTGAGTGCAGAAAACAGAATAGTTCCTTTCTTCTTTTTGTCCCTTAACCAAATTATTTCAAAATAATAACTTCCTTTGGTATTACTTCATGAGGTTGATTTATCCTTCAAGCACAAGGAAAACAACCCATTCAAGAAAACACTGCTAAATTACAAACCTAATAGCCACATACTTTCACAGAGGAAGTTCTCATTCAGCCCTGGATATCATTAGAAGCTTCTGCAGCAACAGTGGCAGCCACAATGAGAGATACCAGAACTGATGCTTTCAGGTCTTTCTGTTTTGGTCCACGGTTGCTAGCTGCTTCTCTTCCTTGCTGAGACAGAAATACATTCACATTTACAGAAACAGATATCCAGGTTTCTGGAAATGCTTGGTTGAAAGATGGTGGAGAGCCACTGGAAGGCACTTCTTAACTTTGGTCCAGTCCCTCTCAGCAAACAATACTTACGTGCACTGATTGCCATGCTGTATAAGGATGTGTAGGGATGGTGAGTGAACAGAACTGTGCTCATTTCCTCAAAATCATGTGCACCTTAGGACCATTACTATTGACAGCCCAGGAATCCTTGAGGAAATTCTCCAAGCCTCTGTCAGTAATGTTTTTAAAAGGTCAGTACTTGGACAGAGCAACCCTTACTCTTCCTTTTGCAAGGAAAAAAAGCTTCAGTGTGGAAAAGGAGGTAATAGGGAGCAGAGAACTCTGCACACAGAAAAGGCAAGCCTGACATGTCTCTCCATGTCTGAACGCAGTGAGACAGCTTTCATGAGGTCGATGGGTTGGATCATTGGCCTCTATAAAAGAGACTGACATAACATTTCTTCTGAGTGGGCATAAAGATCACTAAGGAGACAATGCCCTCATTTGCCATTCCATCACTGCTTTCCTGCTTCTTCTTATGGTGAGAAATTGTGGTCTGAACACTTTTGCCCACTAGAATGGTTGGAACTGGATTGCACACAGAGGCGGCTCAACCCATTACGCAAAGTTAACATTCACAGTATAGTTGATTTTGTCCAGGGGCGCTCTTGAGGCACTCTTGGGGAAAAATAGACCTTGACATATGCGAGTTGTAGTTACTGGGATGTATAGTTCACCTAAAATCAAAGAGCATTCTGAACTCCACCAGTGATGGAATTGAACCAAATATGGCACACAGAACTCCCATGACAAACAGAATATATATATCAATGATTAGTTGGGGGGGGGGGGCACCAAAATACTGTTTGCTTACAGTTGAAAATTACCTAGGGCCGCTTCTGATTACACATTTTCTATTGCTTGCTGCTTGGAGATTAAACATTTTTCCTTTGGGAAAAAGGGACAGAGTAGCACATTCCAGAAGGCAAAATATGGTGTTAGTGCCATCAAGATGAGCTTAAACCTTTATATTTTCAGCACATCCATTTTCCTGGAATGAATTACTGTTGACATGCTGTCTTAGTCCAAGAAGGGGTCACAGTTGGGATGCTGGTGGAGGAAACTCTTGTCATGTTGAAATAATTTAAGATGGTAGTAACAAGGTCAGATCTAAGAGCATATCTGAACTGTAGATTTCATCCTTTGATTGTAAGGGGAGGAAAAGCAATCCTATTTAGAATAGGACAAACATTACCTTTCCTGAGCAGGCAGATCACAAACAGGGTATCTGTTTAACAAGACTAAACTTCAAGCTATTCCATTTTGCCCCCATTCCACAACACCAACTTAATATTTCTACTGGCTCATTTTGGATCTGATGTAAAAAGAGAACATCAGTACAGAATATCCTAGATGCTCTCACTCTGCAGTTTCAGGTATGTGAATCCTGGGAAACTTTAGGCTGTAGGGCCTGAATTTTGTCCTCTGTGATTCCTGATCCAGCCCCTCAGATGGCTAAGACCCATTCTGTCATTTGGTGTTTTTCCCCAAGTTTATTGTTGTTGTCTGCCTTCCACACATTTCTGAATTAACGCCAACTCTCTCAGTGGAGTTTTGTGACAGAATTTGTTAAAAGACTTGCATTTGAGTTCCACTGAGGCTGAGAGAGTGTTACCTGCCCAAAGTCACCCAGTGCGTTTCCATGATTAAGCAAGGATTTAAACCCCAATATCCCAGGGTCCTAGTCCAACACTCAAACTACTACATCACGCTGGCTCCCAGCTTTAGTACAGATTTTTCTCATTATAAAATGCGGATATTCTTCTGCTAATGCTTAATTTCTAGAAACAAAAGCTCTAAGTTAAAATATGCAGACATTTTTGATCCCACATACTTGTGTGAAATTGAATTTGACCCTCCCACTGAAAGAGGTTTTCTATCCTTGGGCAGTTATCTTAAAAGAACATAGTAATCAAGACAGAGTCCTTTAGAGTTCTGTAACATAAATGCCAAGAAAACAGTCATTCCCAGCAGCACTTTCTGGTAGGAACTGATTAATTAAACACCGTGCCCTTTACAGTATCAGAGTTAATAAGTCAGGAAGAGATGAGCAGACTGCATTCTGCCAAGAACCTTCTCCACGTCCTCAGAATGCAGCAACTGAAACTGATTTCATAAAACATGTTCCAGGTTCATCTTATCTGTAAAATCCATATCAGAGGTATGCATTTTATCCTGAGTACTTAGCAAATATTTCACAAGTTGTCTCTGACAGCTCCCTTACAACACGTCATTGTGTGCACCAAACTGTAATAGGCCCTGAACTGGACAGGAGACCTGGATGATACTCAATGTAGGTAGAACATTTCTTAGTCAGAATTCCAAAATGCAAAATACTCCAAAATCAAACATGATCCACATGGGTGGCTGAGAGAGTGACACCTTTGCTTTCTGGTGGTTTAGTGTATGCAAACTTTGTTTTGGGCATAAAACTATTAAAAATAGTTTTTAATGGTGTAGAAAATTACCTCCGGGATGTATTAATAAAGAATATGTTTTATTTATGGTTTATTTACTTTCTAACAATAAATATAAACCAGTGTTATCTGAAAACAAAGTGAATATAAATATAAAAAAATAAAAACAAACAGATAATTTTATTTAAACAATTAAACATTAAAATATAAAATGTATTAAAACATATTATTTATTAAATACAAATGAGTTTCATGTTTATGTGTGTGTATGTTATATATATATATATATATATATATATATATATATATACACATATATATACATACACACACACATACACACATACATACACACACATATATATACACATATATACACACACACACACATACATACATACACACACACACTATTCTGGAACACCTGTGTTTGTATGTGTATATATATACACACACATACAAACACAGATGCTCCAGAATAAAAAGAAATCTAAAACACCTCAGATGTCAAGCATTTTGGATAGGAGATACTCAAGCTGTATTGATGGCACAGAACTGTTCCTTTTTCACTGCCATATAGACATATTGTCGGATTATTAATAAGCTCTATTCTGTGTTTAAATTCACACCTGGAGCTCTTTCACATTCCAGAATTACAGCAACATGATTCCACTTTAACTGCTATAGCATTATTCAATGGGATCTGACTAGCTGAGAAATCTATTACACATTTTGAATCACATCTCAGTCTGGGATGATGGCATGCCACTAAACGTTATGCTTGATGCAGTGATTGTGACCTTCTGAGCTACTCTGAACAACAAGCCTAGGTAGGAGCCACAACAACAGGTCCGAGGTCACCATCATAGTTTAAAGTGGAAACAGTTGGGCAATGGGATGGTCCCTAGTGATGGGATTTTTAATTTATCACATAAGATATGCATACCGGGAACTGAATCTTAGATGAACAGGTCCGTCCCACAGGGAGTTGGAATCCTTATGGAAGATAGAGCTGGTAAATTGAGCTGAGTGGAGATGCCAACTGTGGCTAAGAGTACATAAAACACAGAAGATTTTAGATACTACAACAGGATGTTTAATCTATGTTTAGACTGGGCCTATCCCAGACCTTTTTTAAAAATATAAGCTTTTTATTGCTATGAAATTGGGGTCTAGGGAATGTCCCAATAGTCTTGAATCTAGTTTTCTGACTAGAACAGGAAGCTAAGGAACCTGTTCTACTACTGGAGACGGACAAAGACGTTTTAAATTAAGCACAGTTGGTTTGAGAAAGTAATTTTGAAACATATTATGAAAGCAGATTTGCTTTGAGAAACTGATTTTGAAACATATGAAAGTCAAACATATTCTGGTTTATATATTTTATTTTGACTATATGCATACCTAGAAAATGGCAATATTTTATTATTTGAAAGGTTCTCTCTCTCTAGGAACCATGAGTTTAAGATTACTGAAACTTGGCATATGTACTGGGAGTTATTTTACATACAGCACTCTTGAATTTGTTTAAATTATTTTAAATGTGTCTCTGTATTTGAGGCCTAAAGTATTATTACCAATCAGTAGGTGGCAGATTTCTGTACATATGTTTGTAGAGAATCCAGGGAAGAAGTAGACCAAGGCATAAAATTATGAGCCAGACTCCCTTGCCCTGCCTTGGGGCAGCCCCTGTCCCTGGGCATGAAGGCTGCAGACTTTTCCTGAAACTCTAGAGCAGTAATATAACAGGGTTGCTGTGAGTTTTCCGAGCTGCATGGCCATGTTCCAGAAGCATTCTCTCCATATCTATGGCAGACATCCCCAGAGGTTGTGAGGTTTGTTGGCAACTAGGCAAGTGAGGTTTATATATCTGTAGAATGTCCAGGGTGGGAGAAAGAACTCTTGTCTGCTTGAGGCAAGTGTGAATGTTGCAATTGGCCACCTTGATTAGCATTTAATGGCCTTGCAGCTTCAAAGCCTGGCTGCTTTCTGCCTGGGGGAATCCTTTGTTAGGAGGTCTTAGCTGGCTCTGATTGATTCTTGTCTGGAATTCCCCTGTTTTCTGAGTGTTGTTCTTTCTTTACTATTCTGATTTTAGAGTTTTTTTAATACTGGTAGCCAGATTTTGTTCATTTTCATGGTTTCCTCCTTTCTGTTGAAATTGTCCACATGCTTGTGGATTTCTATGGCCTCTCTGTGTAGCCTAACATAGTAGTTGTGAGAGTGCTCCAGCATTTCTGTGATCTCAAATAATATGCTGTGTCAGGTGCTCTGCTATGGCTGACTTCTCTGGTTGACTTAGTCTGCAGTGCCTTTCATGTTCCTTGATTCATGGTTGGGCAATGCTGCTTTTGGTGGTCCCTATGTAGACTTGTCCACAGCTGCACGGTATACGGTAGACTCCTGCGGAAGTGACATGATCCCTATTGTCCTTTGCTGAATGTAGCATTTGTTAGATTTTTTTAGTGGGTCTGTTGAAGGTTTGTAGGTTGCGTTTTTTATCAGCGTCTCTATGCGGTCAGTGGTTCACTTAATGTATGGTAAGAACACTTTTCCTAACCTGACAGCAAGCATGCCTCAAGATACCAAGGATGGTGGCTTCACTCTGGTGGGGCAAGCACAATGAACACTGCATAACTTGATGTTTAATAGATTGGATACATTAAAATATGGGTGATTTAATCCTGTAAAAAACCAGATACTGCTATTTGTAATTACTTACTTAGGCGATCCCTCGTAGTAGTCAGAGGATTATGGTCCTCAAAGTGCAGTGTCTTGGCGGTGGGTCTGTAGGTGGCTGTGGAGCCCTATTCTTGATCCGCATGTTCTCCTGCAGTGAGGACATCAGTTTTCAGGTGGAAGGCGGTGCTGGTCAGGGTTGGCTTGACATGCCTTCCTCTTGACACATTTCTGCCTTTTGCCCTCCATTTGTGCTTCTTCAAATTCTGCAGCACTGCTGGTCACAGCTGACCTCCAGTTAAGAGCGCTCAAGGGCCAGGGCTTCCCAGTTCTCAGTGTCTATGCCACAGTTTTTAAGGTTGGTTATTAGTAATGTCAGGGGGAGGAAATAAAAGGGTGGCTGAAGTTCAGTTTCCCCTTCCAAGCCGAAGGGGCAGTGATGGGCAGTGATCTCTATAACCGCAAGCAGCCAGGTCCAGGTCACTTTAGTATGAAACAACATTGCACTGGTGTGGATTGGAGCCCATTTCCTCCCAGACAGAAGCAATGTGGGGAGGCTTTGGGAGGAACAGGTGGCCTCTTTGTCCTCGAACAGGGAGTGTTGCATTTGGGCAAGGAAGTGGGAGGCAATGAATAAGTGCAGGGCTCAGAAGTGTTCTTGCACAAGAGAAAGGAAGCCAGCACTGGGGAGCCCGGGAGAAGGTTCGAGTGCCAGCCTTGGCGAAGGGAACAAGATCCTACAAGTTCTCAGTTCTAACTGGGAAGAGCTTAGGCTGCCAATCTCAGGAGGAGGCCCACCAAGCCTCCGGAGAGCGCCGGGGAGACGCTGGGGGCCCTTGGCCCTGCCGGAGAGGTTTCCGGGTCCTGGCTACTTGGGAGGAGGGAGAGCCAAGGCCGTGGCCAGAGGCCATTGAGCGGCGCCGGAGCCTGCCGCGGGGATTGAACTGTAGTAACCCCGGGAGGCCGGCGCTCTTCTGAGGTGAATGACCTGAAATAAGCCACAATTCAGAGGCGCTTCTTGCATCACCAGGCGCATCGTTTCCTAAACACTAGGGCCGTCCCCTCCTGCAGTCACCACATCACCCTATCGCCTAGCAACGCCCCCACAGCCCCGCAGATTGGCCCCGGCGCGCGCACCCCTTCGCCTTCCGCGCCGCTGATTGGGCCCTCGCGCTCAATGACTGCCAGGCAGGAAAGGGAGGGGGAGGAGGGAAGCGCGCCTCGCTTTGTATCCGCGGCGCTCGCCGGCTTCCTAGGAAGGAACTCGGGCAGAGAGAGTAACGAGGCCGGCGAGCGGCGCGAGGCCAGAGAGAACGCTAAGCCCGCTTAAGCCTCCCCCCTCCCTCCCTCCCTCGCCGCGCGCAAAGAGCAGGCGGGAAGGGAAGGGACTCAACGGGGGCCACGCGCGCGGCCCAAGTCCCAAGTCAAGCACATTCATGCAAGCCTCCTTCAAGAAGCAAGCTTGTGCCAAACCAAACACGTCCCCTTCGAAGGCGCCTCCTCAGCTCCCTCGAGCGGTTACCCCCGGGGGGAAGCCAGGTCCAAGCAGACCACCCCCCCCCAGCCATTGCGGCCCTTCCTGTGCCCCCCCTCGAGCAAATGAGCCCCCTCCCCGTCTCTCTCTTTCTGCGTGCCATGCCCCGGGCGAGTGAGTCCCGCCGCCCGTCCTGGCCCGCTGCCCTCCCAGGCGGCGGGGGCATGGTTCCCCGCGTGGCAACCCGCCCCGCCCCTCCCGCGAGGGGGAGGCCCCGGGGCCCCCACGAGAGAGAGAGAGCGGGAGGGGAAGGGAAGGGAAGGGAAGGGAAGGGAGGGGGGGTCTGCGCCGGAGTCCCGTCCGCGGCTCTCATTGGACTGCGGCGAGGAGCAAAGCTGTCAGCCCATGTGGCGTGGCCTCCGGAGGTGGCRGCTGGTTAAATAGGCGCCGGAGCCGGAGGGAGGCCAGTCAGGCAGGCAGTCAGTCAGTCAGGAGAGGACCGCATCCACGCAGCAGCGGCAGACGCAGGAGGAAGAGGAGGAGGAGGAGGAGGCGCTGGCGGAGGCGCCAGGTTGAGTGCGCACCAGGCACGCAAGCAGCACGCAGGACGCGGCGGCCCACGGGCGGAGGGATTGGCCTTGCGCCGGGCAGAGGAGAAGAAGCAGCAGCAGCGCCATCGCAGACCTGAGCAGGTAACCGGGCCCAAAGGGGATGCGGAGCGGGGAGGGAAAGGAAGGTGAGAAGGAAGAAAAAAAGGAAGGACAGAGACTGAAGGGCTCTCAGGGCCGCAACTTGGCCTCCTCTTGCCCGGCATCGCCGCCAAGGGAAGGGCGGGGAACCGGTGCCGGCTTCTTCCATCTTCCCGATGCAAATACGGTTACGCATCCTCCAGGAAGCGAAGTTGGCCCACCGGGAAGGACGGCGCACGGGCTCTCCCTTCTTGAGGGTGGGTAGGCAGGGGAAAAGATTCAGCTGAAGGCCGCCCTGAGCCCTTCCCTCTTGGCCCCTCAAAGAGGAACCTAAACCGCGGCTTGATGATTTCCTTGTCTGTCTTGTGGGCGGGAGGGGGGGGGGCTCTCTTCTCGGCCTCCTTCGATATCGGGGTGGAAGGGAAAGAGAAGGAGGGCGGGAGGGAGGTGTGTGTTTGCCGGGCGGCCGCGGGAGGGAAGGAGGGAGGGAGGGAGGAGTGCTGGGCGAGAGAGGAGATGGAGGCTAAGCCTCGCCTGTGGTTCTGCATCCAGCCATTTTGATGCCAGGCGGGGAAGGCAGGCAGGCGGGCGGGCGAGGGTGGCACAGCAGGGCAGGCCATTCGCTCGGTGGATCTGGAGAGGGGAAAAGGAGGCCGTTTCCCTAGTCGGTGTTTCGCCTCATCACTCCTTGACTACATCGCTACGCAAAGGACCAAGGACTGTGAAAGCTGGAATAGTATACTCTCTGCCTCTGAGGATGCTTGCCATAGATGCAGGCGAAACGTCAGGAGAAAATGCCTCTAGAACATGGCCATATAGCCCGAAAAAAACTACAGCAACCCAGTGATTCCGGCCATGAAAGCCTTCGACAATACGGTGGAATAGTATATTCTCTGCCATGTCTGTTGTGGCATCAGATATAATTTCTGCTGGGAACATTCGCCCTTTTTTGCACTTGCTGAGAAATAATTCCACCTTCATGTTTGGAAGGCGGTTCCCTTTGCCCGTCCATCCCTCTATCCATCCCTCCATCCACCCATATTTGATCTATTGTTCGTCTCCATGTTCCCCAGCTGACACCAGACATTTACCTCCCAGTTCCTGCCAGTCTCCAGAGCTCCTTTCAAATGCAATGATTTGAGCTGTTTTACATTACAGCTAATTAGTTTTTATCCATGTGGCGTCAAAGATAGTTATCTGACCGGAATACTTTGGAATTGTATTACAAAGTGAGGAATTAGGGCCGCGTGGAGGCTTCAGAGACAGACATCCTCTGAGGAAGATGGTGGAAGGGGAGTGGGACCACACCCCCCTTTGCCAACCCAGAAAGGGCTACTACTTGCTAGTTGTCTGGAAGTTTTGAACTTCCCCTCACCTGCTTATCCTGGAGCATCATTCCAAGGCAATGAATGGAGCCAGGACACTGAGGGCCCTTCCACACAGCCATATAACCCAGGGTATCAAGGCAGAAAATCCCACAACATCTGCTTTGAACTGGGTTATCTGAGTCCACACTGCCATATTTCTTGCTTACTTACTTAGGCAATCCCGCGTTGTCCGAGTAGGATAGTAGGACACTGCCATATATCTCAGTTCAAAGCAGAAAATGCGGGGTTTTATTCTGTATGGAAGGGGCCTGAGAATCTATTTGTTGTCTCTTACTTTAATCCTTCTGCGAGTGGGGTGAGCTCCCATCTGTCAGCTCCAGCTTCCCATGCAAGGACATGACAGAAGCCTCCCACAGGATGGTAAAACATCTGGGCAAACCCTGGGCAACGTCCTTGCAGACTGCCAATTCTCTCATGCCAAAAGCAACTTGCAGTTTCTCAAGTTGCTCGGACCTGGGGGTAAAAAACTTACTTTAGAAACCTCCTGGTTTTTAGAAGAAACCTGAACGCCATGATCACCTTTCCCTAATGACCCCCAGAAAAGGGAGGAAAAAAATCGTATTGCTGTCAAAAGTTTCTTTCTCCTGCTGAGGCGAGGAACTTTAGCCTTATAATCTACAAACAATTTGGTCAAAGTTGGACTTAAAACTAAAATAGTCGGTCTTTCATGGTGAGACTGGTACACTAATCCCAATGGATCTGCTTGCAACATTAGGGTCAAAATTATTGTGACACTCATTTCATTTGCGTAATTGTTCCAATGTCATTTCCATTTGATTAAGATTAACTCTTTTGTGCAACATGGCCTTGTATGCGACACAGTAGGACATACACCAGGCATGGGCAAACTTGGGCTCACCCTCCAGGTGTTTTGGACTTCAACTCCCATAATTCCTAACAGCCTCAGGCCTCTTCTTTTTCCCTTTCCTTTTTCCCTTTCCCACTTAAGCAGCTGAGAGGGAAAAGGAAAGAGTCTGAGACTGTTAGGAATTATGGGAGTTGAAGTCCAAAACACCTGGAGGACCCAAGTTTGCCCATGCCTGGTGTACACAGTAGGTCTTATTATAGTTTGTGTACAGACTAACAACTCATCCTGTGCATTTTAATTCAAAAGCAATCACACTCAATACAGTAGCGCTTATTAAAAGGAAGGTGTTTTTCATTATAGCATTAGGCAGGAATCCTAAGCACTCAGAGTAGCAAATAAGTCCAGGCACTTTCTGTGTTAGATCTCTGAGTTGCTTCAGGTAGAGTCACACTGTAAATCAGAGCATGTTGACAACTTGCAACTCGTTTAGACCAGGAAGTGAGTGCTAGTATCACGGAACAAAACAGTATATGCAATTTCATAATATATTGATAGAAAGAGGACAGGATTAAATAGAAATAGCTCTCAGTTACTGAATTCATTTAATATTAGGATCCATTGATTTCACGCTAAAACATGAATGGGCCATTTTGCCCTTTCTTTAATGTTAACCTAACTGAATAATAAATTAGAAGGAGCAAACGCTTCCCTTTTCTCCTGTGCATAATATATTAAAACAAAAGCAAAGATATACAGTGTATCTTTAAAACAATTCATTATTGAAAACAGTTCCTGTTGAAAAAAGTATAATGATGATGATGATGATGATGATGATGATACTTTATTTATAACTCGCCCTATCTCCCCAAGGAGATGCCTTCCTATGCCTTCATTAAAACAGATTGTGCTACATGTCCATCTTAGAAAGGGATAGAATAAAACTGCAGAAAGAATTGCAAAGAGATGCATTTTATTGTCATCATGAACCACACTCTCGATTGCTTATTAATTGCAGCTTGTTATGTTGTCTTGTTCTGACAAACTGTGGTTAATCTCAGCTATGGCTTGTTTAAGATGAGCCCACTTCAATGCATAATTTATGAAATTGGCCTTTCCCACAAATCGTCGTAATACTCAACCACAGTTTGAGTGTGGAATGCAGTGACAGTTGTGGTTAATGAAAACCAGAAATTAAAACATCCAAATTGCTCCTCACAGGTGTACTGAAAAGGGAAAGGTTGATGGAAGAGAGAGAGAGAAGAACACAGGACCAGCCCTAAAATTAAGGAAAGTGAGGCAGTTGCTTCAAGCAGGAGAGGCTGGGGAGCGTTTGTGAGAGATTGAAGGAACAAGGGGTCTATCTACATTGTAGAATGAATTCAGTTTAACCCCATTTGAACTGCCATGATTCATTGATACAGAATCATGGTATTTGTAGTTTCACAAGGCCTTTAGCCTTCTCAGTCAAAGAGTACTGGTGCCTCACCAAACTACAAATCCTAGGATCCCATGGCATTGAGCCATGACAGTTCAAGAGGAGTCAAAGTGCATTCATTCTGTGGCAGTGATTCTCAACCTTCCTAATGCCACGACCTCTTAACACAGTTCCTCATATTGTGACCCCCCAACCATAACATTATTTTCATTGCTACTTCATAACTGTAATTTTGCTACTGTCATTAATTGTAATGTAAATATCTGACATTCAGGATGTATTTTCATTCACTGGACCAAATTTGGCATAAATATCTGATATGCCCAAATTTGAATACTGGTGAGGTTGGGGGGGGGGGGATGTTGATTTTGTCATTTGGGAGTTGTCGTTGCTGGGATTTATAGTTAACAATCAAAGAACATTCTGAACTCCACCAACGATGGAATTGAAGCAACTTGGCACACAGAACTCACACAACCAACAGAAAATACTGGAAGAGTTTGGTGGGCATTGACCGTGACTTTCGGAGTTGTAGTTCACCTACATCCAGGGAGCACTGTGAACTCAAACAATGATGGATCTGGACCAAACTTGGTACGAATTCACAATATTCCAAAATCTGAACACTGGTGGAGTTTGGGGAAAATGGACCTTGACATTTTGGAGTTGTAGTTGCTGGGATTTGTAGTTCACCTGCAATCAAATAGCATTCTGAACCCCACCAATGATCGAACTGGGCCAAACGTCTAACACAGAACCCCCATGGCCAACAGAAAATACTGTGTTTTCTGATGGTCTTTGGCAACCCCTATGACACCCACCTCGTGACCCCCCCCCCAGGAGTCCTGACCCCCAAGTTGAGAAATGCTGATTTACTGGTTCATCTCTTATTTCTCCTGAGCCTTTTCATCTATTCCTTTCTGATGAAGAACAGGGTTGTGTGTATGTGTCCTGTCTTGAGTCCCCTAATCTGCTGTCCTATTATCAGTTCTAAAGTGAAATTCAGCCACCAATCCAGTCAGCATCTGTACCGTCTTGTCCTTCAGCTTAGACAGCAAGCTGTTGTGGGGGCAGGAGGCTAACACCATACTAATGCAGTAATGTAGTTCAGAAGGAACCTGGTCATACCAGTCAGGGAGCTTTGGATACTGTGTGTTTCATGCCGTCTGCTCTGCATCCTCTTGCTACCCAGGCCTCTCAGGGGGAGGATGGATACTGTTCCATCACCGTTGGTGGAATACGTCCTGTCAGATTTTGAGCACGGGGAGGGTATGTCTGTGTGTGGGGAGATCTTTGTCTTTACGGTCCTATAACAAAATGTCTTGGGCAACCCTTGGGGAAAGATCAGACTAATGTTTATCATGACATATAT